CTGTCTTGATTAGTTTCTTTTGATGTACAGATTTTACAAGGTTTATCCTATGTTATATGTCTATATGAGTGAGTATATACTGTGTGTGTCTTTCTGCTTCTGAGACAGCTCACTCAGGATGATCCTTTCCAGGTCCCACCATTTACCTGCAAATTTCATGATTTCCTTATTTTTCATTGCAGAATAATACTCCATTGTGTAGATGTATCACAATTTCTGCATCCATTCTTCAGTTGAGGGGCATCTGGGCTGTTTCCAGCTTCTGGCTATTACAAATAAAGCTGCTACAAAACAGTCTTTTTTTCTTGGGGTTCTTTTCCCTAAGTCTTTGTGCATGAGATTCCTTCCTCCTCACATAAAAATAATTTAAAAGTGAATCATTATGAACTCACATGAGAATCTGCTTTTGTGAGCATTGAAATTAAGAAAAAATGTACCTTTCTAAAATCCTTATAGAGGCTGCATTTGACAGTTCTTGGATAGTTTCATGAAATAAAAACAAGGACCACTAAGCTTCAAGAATATTAGTTTTCACCTAAAATTGATGAGAATAGGGGGGAGAGATGGCTCAATAGATAAAAGTTTTGTCATGCAGGCATGAAGATGCAAGTTTTAATCCCTAGCTACCACATTAAAAACAAAAAAAAAAAAAGCAAACTGGGCATTGTAGCACATGTGTAGATCCCAGAGCTGTAGAGGGGATAAACAGCACTATCCTTGGGCTTGCTGGCCATCTAGCCTGGGTGAATCAATAAGCTCCCAATTCAGTGAGTGACCCTGTATTAAAAAAAAGTAAGGTGACCAGGCATTGTGTCATACATCTACAATCTCAGGACACAGGAGGCAGAGGCAAGGGAATTTCCATGGGTTTAAGACCAGCCACCTGTCCTGCATACAAACTTCCAGGCCACCCACAGATACACAGTTAAGACTCTATTTCAAACAAGATACTACTACTACTACTACTACGACGACGACTACTACTACTACTACTAATAATAATAAATGCAGAGATCACTGAAAGAAGATACTTGATGCTGAAGCTGATCTGTGGCTTCCATCCAAAGACAAACATGCTTGCACACATGCACAAGTAATAATAAAATTACAAACAATCCAAGAAAATAATGCAGGTTTGTGTTGTCTTGTGACCTCTACTCCCCCATTTGCACAATCTGGGTGTCAAGGTAGGAAAGATAATCCAAAAGTAAACAAAACTTGGTTAGGGAACATCACAGCAAAATATATGAGGGAAATACTAGAAGAGAGACTACTTTAGGAGCTGTCTTTCCAGCTCAGTGTTTAAGAGTACTTTATGCTGTTGCAGACGATGAAAATTCACTTCCCAGCTCCCACATGACAGCTTACAACTGGTACTGCAGTTCCATGGGATCCAACACCTTCTTTAGACCTACACGGGCACCAAACATGCATGTAGGCAAACACTCACATATACAAAATTAAAATCAGTCTTTACAATATATTTTTTGTTAAAGCAATACTGCCCACATACCTAACCTAATATACTAAAGTATAGGGTCACAAAAATGAAAAGTCATAATTTTTCTTTACGTTAAACACTTTCTAATACATACTTGTTGATTTTTCTGTTTTTTTTTTGTTGTTGTTGTTTTAATTAGGGTTTCTATTGTTGTGATAAAACACAATGAACAATGAGTAAATTGGGGATGAAAGGGTTTGTTCTGCTTACACTTCTTTAGTGCTGTTCATCACCAAAATAAGTCATGACAAAAACTCAAAACAGAGCATATACCTGGAGGCTGGAGCTGATGCAGAAGTCATGGAGGGGTGCTGCTTGCTGGCTTGCCTCCTTTCTAATGACTCTAGCGTGTGTCAGTTGACACACGTAACCAGCTCGTACATTTGTTTACTTGAAACAAGGTCTCTCTATAGAGTACTGGTTGTCCTGAAGTGGACTTTGTAGAACAGGCTGGCCTTGAACTCACAAAGTTTCCCCTGCCTTGGTTTCCTGAGTGATAAGATTAAAAGTGTGTGCCACCCCAACTGAATTTGCTGATTTTTTTTTAAAAAATTTTCTTACATTTTAAAAATAAAATCCCTAAGAATCTAAAACTTCTTGTCCCTTCGCAATAAAACATGTCTCATTTTTAGCCTTAATGTCTGTGAAAACCTTTTTTGTCTTTAATGTTAAAGTATTTTCATTTTTAAAGAATTTAGCCTACAGTTGTTGATACTGGCCAGGGAATAGATAGTATAAGAGCTGAGATACAGAGTAATGGACCTGCTTACCTTCAGAAAAAGGAAACAGGCTGGCTCTGGTTACAATCTCGGTGCCTGAATCCCACTCCATGTTTCTAATTTTGATTTTAGTTTTCCCCACAAGGTTCTCACTGCCTGGTGGTATCACCATACAGATGTCTAATCACCCCTTTAAAGATGCTATGCCTCCCAATGCAACATAGCAATAAACTTCATTTTGTTCTATCGTCCATTCTTGGACTTCACAATGATAGATATTCAACAGTTACTTCTTGTCAGTACTATCTGGCTCCAAATTCATCATCCCATATACCAGATATAAAATAAAGCTACACTATAAAGAAAAAAAGACTTGATTTTTTTCAAAAGCCACTGTACCCCCCCTCCCAATTTCCTCTTTAAATTCATCATGATAAATCACTATGGGGATGTTAGGCCTAAAGAAATAATTAGTAAGCACAAATTTCACTCAATATGAACAGAATCATAACAATAAGAAAATAGTAAGTATGAAATATATGTGTCAAATATAGAAAGGAAGGATTGAAGGACTAAAACAGAGACTTTCAGTAAATATTAAATATATATGAGGTACCTGGACTCTAATTATTCATGTACACTAAATATTCATGTACACTAAATATATAAGTCATTAAATATTCATGAACACTCAATATTCATGAGACCTTAATTTAGCCACTCATTCATTGGTGACATCCATTCTTGCCACAAGTGCACTCTGACCACGAAAGATAAACAAAACTTATTACTATTCAGTAGGATTACTGATGAGCTACATCTATGGCCAAGCACACTCATCCATATTGATCCATCTGAGTATGTACCTTTGGCCCAAATCTCCTCCTGCCTGTGATTCTCCTCGTTTAACCCACAATATTGGTCTCCAAACCATACTACTTTTATCAAAGTTTATAAAGTAGGGTGGGAGGGGCTAATGTCTACCCCTAGGACTCAGGCAGAGTGTACTTTTCTTCCATTTAAGCTTGGTCCCAAGTGTGTCTTTACCACTGCAACTCACTGCATGTTTTAAATGTAAGGGTTTTGTTGTTGTTGTTGTTTGTTTTTGCTTGTTTGTTTGGTTGGATTTTTTTAAGTTAGTTAATTAGTTGGTTTGATTTTGTAGTTTGGAAGATGAAAGCCAGCACCTTTAATGTTCTGGGCAAAGGCTTTATAACTAAGTTATATTGCTTTCACTAAGCATTTTAAATATTTTAATGTATTATGTGACTCATTCATTTTAATTTGGCCAATGAGTCTTCTCTTTGGTGGTCTACAAGAAAATATGTCTACATACTTCTTGGAGGCCAACAATATTTCAAGGTATACTATATATCTAAGATGTTCATAAAGAACAGATAATGAGGGGATCAGAAATTTTAGACAGGAAGTCCATGGTAGACAGCTGTCCCATTCCTATAATCAAGCAATGAAAGTTCCATGTATGGAATAACAGCGAAGAGAACAAAAAGACATGTATATATGTTTTGCTGAGACTCAAAAACAGAATGGTAGGTTTAGTATGAGGAAATGAGGAAAATAAAAGTGGTAGATGTCATAGTAAGAAAGATAAGTTTCAAAGTCTAAAATATTACAGTTGACAATACTCCAAAAGACCAAACACACACAAACACACACACACACACACACACACACACACACACACACACAAATTCCAGTAAAAAAAATCATGGCTCCTGTCCTATTCCTTGTCTTCTCCTACTCCGATCTCTATCTTACTTGCCCTTCTGAGTGAGATTTCAGCCTCTTCCCTAGGGTCCTCCTTGTGATTTAGCTTCTTTAAGACTATAGATTTTATTATGTTTATCTTATATTATACATAGTGAAGGAACAGGGCTCTGTTGAGATGCTATGGTGGTTAATCTTGTTGATTTCATTGGACTCAGAAATGCCAGGAAACCAGAAAAACATCATGACTCTATCTGTGAGGGCATTTCTAGACTGATTAGAATAGAATGGTGTTGACCTAATAAATAGGATACCTGAGACTCTAATGAGGGAATTAATCTATTAATGAATTAAAAACTTGGAGGTATTACTTTGGAAGATATAGAACTATTGTCAGTAGGGTCTAACTGGAGAAATAGGTCATTAGCATATCATTGGTGGCTGTATATGCCATGGCCCCTGCTACTATTCTAGTTGGTTTGCTGATCATCACCATGTCAGCTGCCCCACTATGCTCCCCGCTGAACTGAAACAACAAGCAAAACAGATATCATCTCCCTTAAATATATATACATATACATTTCTATTAGAAACTCCCTTAAATATATATATATTCTATCAGAAACTGGTCGCAGCAATGCTAAAGCTAACCGGCACAGTCAAAGAAACAGCAAAGTCATGATAATTATCATAGTGTCAATAGTAGATGAGGAGAGCCATGATGACACAAATTGTAGTCCAAGAAAGAAGAAGCAATAGCATCCTGGATGACATAGTAAGGTAATGCAGTGACAACAAAGAAACCAAAAGCTTTGAAGAGTTTGCTATACTAGATATAGTTGTATTTCATAATGCAGAGAGAGGAGAGAAATGGTCTATGTTGAGTTATAAGGGGCAGAAATATATTAAGTCACTATCATGAACTAAAGGCGAATGCCACATAACTGAAATGTTTAAATATTAGCATGGAACCTTTCAAAAAGCTAAAGACAGACAATATATAAGACAAGAATTAGAAGCAAAAGAACCACATTGCTGTTTTAAATAAATACCTTGAGGCAGTCCACTATTTATCAGTTCTGGTTCATTTACTTGAATGGTGTCATCTTCAGGGTAGAAATAGATTTTATAGTATCTTATTCTATGGCTTTCTTGCCTTTTATCAGGCACTTCATCTTCCAAATATGCATCAAATGATAATACCTGTTGGAATCATAATTAATTGTGAAAAATCAGCATACTTAAAATTAATAAATTTATCCCTATACAATATTTGTTAATAAAAAAGTTGATTTTTCTTAAAACATTTTGTATATCACCTAAAGAGAACATATACACAATACAGGTAATAGTATGTTAACATAACCAACCTCTGGTTACAACAATAATAAAACTATATTAAAGTAATAATAAGCCCATCTTTCAGTTCTACAATAAAGTGAATTGCCTCTCTTTGGAAACTCAAAATAGAATTCAAAGTGTACGTCAGAAGCAAAAGATACTTTTTATTTCATGATGAACAAAATGTTGTTTATTTTTCCCATAAAAATAGTTTAAAGCTACCTTGGTTATGGGATAAAATTATCCTGATTCCTAGTCTTTCTGATTGCTTGCCTTAACATATCTCAAAACAGCAGATCTGAAAGCCTCTTAAAAGCATGGATACTCCACCTACTCCAGGAAGCTAAATAATCTAGCTCTGACATGGCAACATGGATGGGAATGGAGTGGATTCTAAAGTGATTATTAAAAATCAGACAGAAAAATTTGAACAAAAATGAGGACATGACTACTCCAAGGTATGATGCAGGAGAAAGTTTTCACCATATATATATATATATATATATATATATATATATATATATATATATATATATAAAAGTACAGCCAGATGCATCTGGGGGAATCCGGAGCATGGAAAGAAAGTAATAGACTAAACTGAACTGGACTGATTCAGTAGGCTGACCTAGGCCATGAAGAAAGAGAGAAAGAGAGAAAGAGAAGGAGAGCAAGAGAGTAAGAGAAGAGAGAGGAGAAAGGGCCAAGGGAAACAAGAGGGCAAATAGAGCTAAAATGGGCAAATGTGGCTGAAATGGCAGGGTTATATAGGAATCAGAAGCTGGGGGAAGGAAAGCAAAACTCAGGGCTTGAAGAGGTTAAAGTCAGAAGAGCCAGGACATTGTAACAGGTACTTGCCATGGTGAAAGAGTCTGAGGTCAGCATGCACTTCGGATGCTATTATGCACCACAGTTAGCCATCTGTCCTGAGTTTCTTTGGGACCTGACAGAAATATCCTAGAAATTTCCTTAACTACTTTGGAAAAACCATCTCACAATAAGAAAAATAAATCCTTCCCCCGCCCATATTAGTACCTTTTCTGAAAAACCACTTTTAATAGTTATGCTTTTGTGCCATGTGGTATGAATAACATGTGTTTTTAAACTTTGAAAATAACTCTCAACAGGATGACCTGCTCATATAGAAGGACACAAAAATTGAAGACAATTAGTGGAACAATATTTCTGTGATTCCAAGCTTCTGTGATTCTATGGGCCACACTCATAGAATGTTCCATTTAAATATTCTCTTGGTCTCTCAAATTGAATTGGTTTTCATTTTATTGTGTGTGCAATATATGTACACACGAGTGTGCAGCTGCACATGACTGTGTTCTCAGAGGACAGAGAATGGCATCACATTGCATATCCTGCCTTATCATTCTCTGCCATACTCCCTTGAGACAAGGTCTGTCACTAGACTGGGAGCTAAGCTGGCACCTGCAAGCCCCAGGAATTCTCCTGTCTCTGCCTCACAAAGCACTGGGGTTACAAACACAAATATTGCCACACTCTGTTTTTGATGTGAGTGCTGGGGACTCAAAAATTGACTGTGCCCACATTTGTGTCTGTACCCCAAATGCTACTTGTGAAGTTTGTGCTTCTGATAGAAATGATCTAAGTACTCTTGGAATGGTTTGACTTTAGGTGTCCTTTTATTGTTATAGTGAAAATATGATGGGCTGGGTTTGGCGGAGACTTGCATGCTCTATGGAACACAAGTGGAGGATAGAAGATACCTGTGCAATTAGTTTGACTTCTACCTTAATGTGAATTCCAGGGATCAAACTCTGGTCCTCAGGCTTATGTGGAAAGTACTCTTACCCACTGAGCCATCTTTCCAGGAAGAAGACTAAGAAGAAAATATGTGTGTGTGTGTGTGTGTGTGTGTGTGTGTGTGTGTGTGTGTGTGTGCGCGTGCCTAGGGATATGTATGTGCTGATAGATATTCTCTGCTGATTAAATAAGTCAACTCGGTAGTGGCTGCTGCTGGCCAATGTAAAATGGCAGTGGCGGCACTGTTGGACAGGATGGTTGGGCCTGGAAGAGTGTGCACATTAGCTCCCAGAAGGATGACCCAAGATGAAAAGCTGACTGCTGAGCTTCATTGGCTTTTGTGCCATAAGTACCTCAGCTGGATGCCCACTCCTTGACCTACCAGTCTGTTTTCTCCAGCTTGGCCTGTTCCTCCTCTTCCAGATTGTTTCCAAGCAGGGTTGGCCTGAATCCTTTCCTAAACTCCCAGGGTTTAGGTCTTATTTCCCTCACCTGAGTCAGTGCTGGGAAGACTGCTTGTCCTTTGCTGAGGTCAGTCCCATAACTCACAGGTACTTCTTGTTCAGCAGGTGACCCATTTGTATGCTCTCATTTCTCCATTTATAATTTGAGGACCAGGTTCTGTCTGCATCTTCTGGTCACTTCAGGGCCACCGTACAATGTGCCCTCCCCCACCCCAATTTTTCAGGCATAACACCTTGTCTTGGAAGGCCAAGGTCTGAACCTAGCAGTCTGCTATTGAGGTCTGATCTTGTAAGCTATGTGATATAATTATCTTAGTGTACTTCCCCCTGTTTTGAAATCTGTGAGAACACGTTAGAACTGTCCCACTTGGTCCTTATTAGTTGGAAAGCATCTGGTGGCTTCATTTTCTGACTCATATGATTGCTGGTGGAGTCTGTAAAAAAAAACCAGCACTAGCATTATCACATTCTCCCCCGGTACTTCCCCCCTCCCCAATGCTCTGTAGCTTTTGGAGAGGGGTGGTTTGGTTTAGAATCGAAAAGATGCAAGTTTTCCTCATATGTGACTTTTTAGTGTTGGTGGAGCTGGGAGTTAACCTGTCTGGCATTAAATAATGTATTAATTTTTTGTATTTACATTATGGGTATGGGTTTTGTTTAGTAGTCAGAATTGAATTAGGTAAGTCATTTTTGTTTTAAATAGTTCTAAGGAGAACTAAAAAGTATTAAAGTGTGGTCATAAATATTTTAGCTACTGTTGGGATTCAGATGTGGGACAAGCAGCTGAAGTGCCCATTTAACCAAAGTGGACCTGGCCTCCAGATTCTCCCAGCATCCCTCAGTCCCTAGTGAGGAGGTATTTGGTGACAAAAATGCAGTTAGTTGTAAAAAAAAAAAAAAAAGCCTTCTACTCCCAAAATATCAAACCGAGGATAACTCCTGTTCATCATTCCTAGAAAGGGGGTGATTGAGGCCTCCAACTCTTCAAGAAGAGACAGGTCTAATGTTAAAACCATCACAGCCAGATTCATTGAGGATGAGCCATTCTCACCAAGTTTCCCAGCCATTTCACAGCCTTTATCCGATAAGATTAAGAATGACCTCCTTCAGTCTAAATCATATGATAGCCCTTAGAGTGACTATACCAGCTGTTGGACCAGCGGTACCAAGATTTCACAGTATCCCAATAACAGCAGCAGTACTACCACATCCAGGGATGAAACAATCATAAAGGAAATTCCAGCTGGTCATTCTTACTACACAATGACCTCTGAAGAAATGATCATTCATATGCAGGGACTACATGATGAAGAATACTGGAATTCCCACATAATTTTATTTTCCAAATGTGAAAAAAACCCAGGCAAAGATCACATATCAAGAGGAAAAAATGCCATATATTCATGGAGAATGTGCAGCTGACTTCCTGCCAAGGCATCATTTGCATCCAAGCCAAATGGAAGGTTTCATCGATACTCATTGTCACTTGGGCATGCTGTTTTTCAAGTTGTCCTTCCAAGGAAGCTTTGCTGAGTTCAGGAAAATTTATAGCTATACTTTTTCCAAGGAATTTCAGGGCTGCATCTCTGATTTCTGTGATCCTCGTACATTAAGAAATGGTCTATGGAAAGAGCTATTGAGTGAAGATCTGGTTTGGGGAGCCTTTGGATATCACCTTCATTTTGCATGTAACTACAATGAGTATCAAGAAGAAACATCTTGTATGCCTTGTACTACCCCAAGGTTGTGTCCTATGGAGATTATTCTTACAAATGCACTACACCTGTCCCAGATCAGTTTAAGGTATTTGAGTGACAACTGAGGTTAGCTGTATCTATCAAGAAGCTTTTGGTGATTCACTGCGGAGAGGATGATGAAAATCTAATGCACATCATGATAAAATGTGTGCCCTATGACTACAAGATCCACAGGCATTGTTTCACTGGTAGTTACCCACTCTTTGAGCCCATGCTAGAGCACTTTCCCAATATGTCCATAGGCTTCACAGCAGTTCTGACTTACTCTACTGCCTGGCAGGCACATGAGGCTCTAAAAAAAGATTCCACTGCAGAGAATTCTTATTGAAACCAATGCTCCTTACTTTCTACCTCGCTGAGTTCCCAAAAGCCTTTGCCAGTATGTCCACCTAGGCATGGGCTTGCATACTGTGCAAGAAATCATCAGATATCTTTCCCAGAATCTCTCCCTAAAGCATCTACTTCTGATTGGTATGGTGGACTACAGTGAGATGGGAGGTGAGACTCTGAAGGTGCTACAAGTGCTAAGGACAAAGTAGGGTTGAATGTGAGCCACTGAGAGTCTTGAGTCTGAACTTGGAATGTAATTGTGAAGCTCTCCCGACACCAGTACATCATCACAGCATAGCAGCTGTTCATTCACATTGCAAATTTCTTCAGAAGATTTCATCATCAACATGCTAGAAATCCAAGAACTTCAGCTGCTCAACTTAGTAAAGGCAATTGTTATTCTTAAACCAGCTGTATACCCAAATCACCACACAGCGACAAGGATGTATTTAGTTGAACCTATTGCACAATGCTGGGCAATGATTATTCCATCCTAAACCTCCAAGCCTGCATAGCTTCCTACCACTCAGATTTCCCA